AAACGGCCGGTTAAAAAGATATGCATTTTACCGATCGAAGAAAAAACCGACGAGCGGATTCCTTATCAGCAACAACAGACAGTGACAGTAAGTGAACCCTAATTGTGTAGTGATAGTGTTAAACGATTTCGACAGATAATTGTGAACCTCTGTACAGTGTAGTGATGTGAAAAACAATGGTGTTATGTAAAGATAGAACTTATGTTTAGTTATTAGTGTGTATTTATAGAGACATGAACATAGTATCATATAAGGACCTTTAATTTACGTTTGGAAAAAATTGTATTTTTTCGGTGGGCGGAATGTTCGGTCCTTGTTAATTGTATATAATCATTGTGTATAGTCATTGTATATATTTTTGTAATATTTAGAAGACGTGCTGTAAGTTAAGTTTTATATTTATATTAGTTTACGATAGTTGTTAGTTTGTACAAATTTTTATTATCATTTTGAAAAGATTTATTCATAGGCACGCCTGGGAATCTCTTTGAACTGGACATCAACAAACAGGGATGGTTCGCAAATGTACAATTACCTACTTTCACAAACTTTTGCAATCACCCGCTGTGTCGGCATCTTCTAATTCAAATTCAATATTTTTCAGAACCGAATGGGCGTTACCATCTCTGTTTGTCGAAGGGCGTACCTACCCCTCTATATGTATATATTAATTGTACCAATTCATGAACGAGGGGACAAGTATTTCAACCTTAGCACCAAGAACTCGTAACTTGAACATTTCAGTGACCATTTTTTGCAACTTGTATTTTTTCTGTACTTGTTTTAATTAAAACATAGCTCACGGTGTTGATGTGTTTATTTTGAAACACCATCACCGAAACATTGTTACACCGGCTTTCTAACAAATGGTTCAGCTGATATAGGTACTGTTGTTGGTAAGTATTTTAAAGTAATTTGTTCTTTAAAAAGCAATCAATAAAGTTACAAGGCCTCCAACCCGAAATAGGTGTTGTGATTTAAGGTGACGTAAACGATGCACTTTGTGTAGGATCCCCCCATTCCAGTTATGCATTTCTTGTAAAATTGTAAACTTACAAGTTACTTAGAATTTGTGAGATTTATTTCTTTATGAGCAGCGACCCTCCAAAAAGTTATGGATGGAGCTGGGAATAACCAAAATTCTCTAACATCAAACCAATTTTAATTTGTGAGATATAGAACGCGGCAAGGTGTCGTAATGTAACATGTGTTTTAACGAAAATTACGCATTTTTGGGTAATCCAAGAAAATGATTCGTAGTTTCGATTCCTTTTTAACAAATTTTGCAAATTTGGATAAGCACAATTTCGCTCTTTAGAGTTGTTCAACTCACTTTAAATTTGTTTGATATTAAAGCGCCGCAAGGTTTCTGCAAGATAGCATGTGTTTCCTTTTTAAACCAATTTTAAAATTTGGAAGCCCACAATTTCGCTTTTTGCAGTGGTTCAAGCCAATGTTAATTTGTGAGATATAAAAGCAGGGTAAGGTGTTGCAAAGTGACGGAAATGATGTAATTTTACAAATTTGGACACGCAAATTTCTCTTTTTACAGTTGTTCAATCAGAGACGGATTTAATAAGGTGATGCGTTTTGTATAGGACCTCCAATTCATAGGACCACGCATGTGGCCTCATATTCCAATGATGCATTTCTTGTAAAAATTGAAAATTACGCGTTCGTAGGAGTTTTGCAGTTTGTCTTTCATTTATATATATTTTTTGAAAAGGAACCATCAAGAAAACCAAAATACGCCATTCATTCTCCACTAAGACTTCAAACGATTTTGCTTTTTCCATTTACTTCGATTCTTTTAATGTCTTTTCTTAAGTATATTCTAACATTATTGTAAAAATCTGACTTCAACTTCGCAATCAAACGTTGGTTTTTGATGCTGAAATCAGTGGCAGATTCAAGTTCGACTGCACCTTAGGCCCCGTTTGTAATAACGTCTTTTAAGAATCCAAATGAATATCAAAAATTAGTTTCTTATGGATTAGGATTAAAATTGTCGATTCAATATTCACAGAAAATTAACAATGAAACGTAATTGTCTGTATATTCCTATGTACAGTATAGTATTTCAAATCAGTTTCATAGACTTTCGTAGCAATAAAAAATTAATGGGGCCCATGTTTGGCCGAGGCTTTTAACATTAACAAGTTTAGAAAATATCCTATTATACTTTCAGAGCACATAAACTATATAGCGGATGTGGCCGGTATCAATCACGTCGGTATTGGTGCAGATTATGACGGTGTGGATAGGTAATTAAAATTTTTATTTGTAATAAATGTAAAGCATTTGAGATTGTTTTAAAAAAAATAAACATTTGCAGTTATCCCAACGGATTAGAAGATGTTTCAAAGTATCCCGACTTATTCGATGCTTTGAAAAAGTCAAACCCACAAAAATGGACCATAAACAATTTGGAAAAATTAGCTGGACGGAATATAGTTAGAGTACTTAAAAAAGTTGAAGAGGTATAGGACATTGATTATTAAAATAAATAATTTATTTTACATTCATATATACAAATTTTCAAAACTTTTATTAGGATTTTATTGCGACTATTTGACTCGTTTTTTCTTCCAGGTTCGAAATACCTATTGTTTGAAATCTGAATGTCCTGATTATTCTTGGATACCAAAGGAAGATTATAAAAATATTAACGTTCCAGAGGTAATGGCATGTAAAACAGAAGAGAATATAGTTGTGTAATTCACATATATATATAATTATATATAACATTATATATAAATATTTGAATAAAATAGACTA